CCAAATGGCGAAGGAATAGTTTCTGTGATCTATGGGGAGGAGGAAGCCTTAGTGAAAGTGTCCGTATTGTGCTTTAATTACGGTGAGTCCCCCCCCCTCACCTCAGGGCAGCATTAGCGGGTGATTCCGTCACCTTAATGACATGCCAGCTCTTTCATGAGGGACCTATTAAACACTGGAGCACCAATAGCCTTGTCCTCACACACCAGTCATGCTGATCTCCCTGACACGGGCTATTGGGGTGAGCGTCTGCATATAATTGGCATATTTTACTGCGACACATACTGCGTTGGTGTCACGTGGAGCTGAATGCGCTGCTGCTAGAGAGACAGATGCTCCTTTTCTCCGCATGTCCTTCCTGAGGCGGCTTTTGCCGGCTCACACCCCATCTCCACCCGCAGCCGGAGCAGAGAGCCCACTGGCTGCCGGGCTGGAAGCGGTTCTAACAAACCCTTTTGCTGTCAGATTCCCTCTGGTTGCAGTTCTTGAAGAAAGACCTCTTTTTTATTAATGTTTTTCTTCTTTGAACTCTTCTTTGAACAAAGAAAATTCATTACATGTGAAACACCTCAGTTGTACACTTTTACGAAGTTTGTGATTCTTGTGATCCCAGTCTGAGTAATTCTTTCTTCATAGTTGGTAGAACAAAGAGGGAATGATGCGTTTGCTCATGACACTACGAAGCTGCCTGATATGGCTTCATCAGGGTAAGTGGTGAGAGCGTATTGGCGCAACCTGACCGTGATGTATGCTGCCTCATCCCCCCCCACCCGTCTTACATCTTGTGTGACGTCACTGCTCACCGTTTAGTGAATCTTCACACTTGATGTAACCGTGAAGTCTGGCCTTAACTGTGGTGAAACAGAAGGGACCCACAAGCCTGGGATGTGCTTCCGTTTTCCATGGCGATTGATTGCCTGTCCTGTGTTAATGAAAGCCAGCTGGCTGCGATTCCACTGGATGTCTTGTGCCCACAGGGAGCGCAGTGCTGTCACAGGTGGCTCTGCAGCCCGTCTCACCGTCCTCAGGCCCAGGGGATCCTTTCAGTTCTGTGCTTCAGTTTTTTGAAAACAGCATTCTGTATTATTAGTGACATCATTCATTCAAACCAGATCCAGCCACTGCCTTAAACAGCCTTAACGCTCGTTAACCACACGACAGAGATTCAAGAAGTGAAACTCCACAGAGAGAAAACTCTTATTCTACGGCAGAGTAACAATAAGGCCACATAAAATTTTAAGTGCTGATGTTTCCCAGTGGGTGTATGCATGGATTTATGAGTGAACATTATTCTTTAATGAAATTTATTACCCATCTCTGGTCAGATTCCTTTATTTTTATTAAACTTCCTCTGCATAAATGTAAAATGATATTTCACCTTCAGTGCTAAAGAGTGTTAATTTGCATGGTGCTCATTTTATGCTGTTGTTAAATTACCTAAGTGTGGGCTGATTCTGCTGAAAAGATGGAAATTCGAAGGACAATCAGTCCACATTGATGCATGAAAGTCCAGCTGCATCTGCAGCACGGTCATGGTCACTTTGAGAGTCCAGCTGCATCTGCAGCACGGTCATGGTCACTTTGAGAGTCCAGCTGCATCTGCAGCACGGTCATGGTCACTTTGAGAGTCCAGTTGCATCTGCAGCATGGTCATGGTCACTTTGAAACTGGTCATGTAGAGAAGTCAGACGTGCCTCCTGTGACCAGCTCACATTGTGGTTAAGTCTGGACAGGCCTGATAATCCTGCAGATCCATATTCTTGTGAATAATCACCAATCATCTGCTTGTCGTCATCCATACTGGACGTATTCCCTTGTTTAAATAGGGTGGTTTCTCAGAACTTTCATGCGCTTATGTTGAATAATAAAGAGCTAGCAGCCCTGTAATTCTTTTTCCCAGGTTTGTTTAGTATTATCGCATCAGTGTCACCTTATGCCACTGTTGGTCTCTGGGACGCCGTCAGCCCCAGACCTGTGGTCAACCTGCTGGCCGTGGTTGTCTCTCGCTACCTTCAGACGATTCCTTCGGTTACATTCACTTTCGCCTGTTTCATCCACTGTTGTTTTATATTGCCAGGCGCCTTGCAGAACAATGACTCACACGGATGAGGTTTGAATTCCCAGTGGTGATATTTCCCTGGGTCCGTTAATTGGCAGAACTTTGATAATTACAGTTTAAATGTGACGCAGTGGGTGAGTCATGCTGGTATTTGAGTATTTACTTTGCCTAGAAAGGGCAGCTGGCTGTCAGGGGTGACTCTCCCGCAACCTGCACTTGAAAACCACAGAGCAGCTAGAGGTATGAGGGCAACCATGAAACCACTAGATATCCTGGATACAGTGAAGACCTTGTAGAGGCACCCAGACAGAAGATTTACACAACATGCAGACCTGGCTGGGTCCCAGGCTGAGCTGGATGCACGCCTAATTAAACAGTTTGTTTAGTTCAGTGCATATAAAGTGCATTCGGGTCAGCGGGAACTAGCGGGCCAGTTGCAAGGTCAACAGGGGGTTGTATGTGACCTTTAGCCCCTGTGGTAGCTTCAAGCACCGCTAACCCTTGGCAAAGCCTTTGATAAGAGCGATGGATGACACTGTGCCTCGGGCCCCCAGACCATGTGTCTTCAACCATGACCTGCTTTGACCCAATGGGATGGCATCAAAGCTGAATTTCTCCTGGTAAATAACAATAAGGCTTGAAAATAGGGGAATAAGAGAATGAGACGCAGCCTTAGAAAAGTATGAAAAGTCCATCACTGACATCCAAGCTTCTCCTATACAGTGACAGGGTTACTGGGGCGAAGACACTGACAGCCGCTGTCTGAAATCGCAGCCATTCAATGAAGTTGTTAATGAGATAATTTGGCCAGGCACTCAAATGAAGTGCACTCACATTCTCCGGATGGCCAGTGGGGATTACGATTAAACATTTCATGGGTTTTCTGGAATTTTACAGGGGGAAAAAAGAACCAGAAGCAGTTTAGCACAGAGTGTCTAATGTAACATTTGCAGACTCTGTGTTGTAATTATGGAAACATTTTTGCTTAACCAAATGAAGTCAAATTGCAGCATATTAAACTACAAGCAATACCAGCTGAGATCACTGTTTATGTGGAGCTTCTGGCCATGGGGTCCTTTCATTTTTTAAATCCTCCATGTGGAAAGAGAACATTGGCGACCTGTAATATGATCTACCCTCCTGCTGGTTTATACACATGCAGCTGGTAGGCGCTGGGCAAGCCTGTGAACAGGCTCAGAGGTAGTAGGTATCGGTCGGGCAAAGGTTAGAGCCCCCCTTTCGAATGACACCCCCTCTGTCCCCAACTGTAATCAAACCAGCCATCTGTGGGCTGCCAGTCAGTTTGCTAATGAGGCCATGAATCATTTGCTTACTACTGTTAAAATAGAAGGTAAAGTAACTACCGACGCATTGAATTAGTAAGAACTCTGAACTATTTCACTTGTATGTCACCATATAAATTTCCATAGAATCAAGGCTATTTTTAAAACAATGTTGAAGGTAATTGGTAACATTTGTCAGAGTATCGTTTAAAATAAGGCTATTTAAAAACCCTGGTATACACTCACCTAAAGGATTATTAGGAACACCATACTAATACGGTGTTTGACCCCCTTTCGCCTTCAGAACTGCCTTAATTCTACGTGGCATTGATTCAACAAGGTGCTAAAAGCATTCTTTAGAAATGTTGGCCCATATTGATAGGATAGCATCTTGCAGTTGATGGAGATTTGTGGGATGCACATCCAGGGCACGAAGCTCCCGTTCCACCACATCCCAAAGCTCTATTGGGTTGAGATCTGGTGACTGTGGGGGCCATTTTAGTACAGTGAACTCATTGTCATGTTCAAGAAACCAATTTGAAATGATTCGAGCTTTGTGACATGGTGCATTATCCTGCTGGAAGTAGCCATCAGAGGATGGGTACATGGTGGTCATAAAGGGATGGACATGGTCAGAAACAATGCTCAGGTAGGCCGTGGCATTTAAACGATGCCCAATTGGCACTAAGGGGCCTAAAGTGTGCCAAGAAAACATCCCCCACACCATTACACCACCACCACCAGCCTGCACAGTGGTAACAAGGCATGATGGATCCATGTTCTCATTCTGTTTACGCCAAATTCTGACTCTACCATTTGAATGTCTCAACAGAAATCGAGACTCATCAGACCAGGCTACATTTTTCCAGTCTTCAACTGTCCAATTTTGGTGAGCTCGTGCAAATTGTAGCCTCTTTTTCCTATTTGTAGTGGAGATGAGTGGTACCCGGTGGGGTCTTCTGCTGTTGTAGCCCATCCGCCTCAAGGTTGTGCGTGTTGTGGCTTCACAAATGTTTTGCTGCGTACCTCGGTTGTAACGAGTGGTTATTTCAGTCAAAGTTGCTCTTCTATCAGCTTGAATCAGTCGGCGCATTCTCCTCTGACCTCTAGCATCAACAAGGCATTTTCGCCCACAGGACTGCCGCATACTGGATGTTTTTCCCTTTGCACACTATTCTTTGTAAATGGATGTGCGTGAAAATCCCAGTAACTGAGCAGATTGTGAAATACTCAGACCGGCCCGTCTGGCACCAACAACCATGCCACGCTCAAAATTGCTTAAATCACCTTTCTTTCCCATTCTGACATTCAGTTTGGAGTTCAGGAGATTGTCTTGACCAGGACCACACCCCTAAATGCATTGAAGCAACTGCCATGTGATTGGTTGATTAGATAATTGCATTAATGAGAAATTGAATAGGTGTTCCTAATAATCCTTTAGGTGAGTGTATGTGAAGTGTTCATTCAAAGCCAGCATCAACCTTTAAAACGTACCTTCAACCTGTATTTCAGACTAAATTCATAGATTCATCTCTACTGCTATCACATGGAGAAGGTCAATTTAAATGATAAAAAAGCATTTAATACATATGAAGTGCTGTTTAATTTTTTCCTATAGAAAGAAAATACATCGCACCCTTTAAATCCTGACACTAATTAAACTAAAATGATTTGCAATTTGCGCTTATATAAAACGTAAACCAACACCCTGCAAATTTCTCAGAAAGAAACTAATTTACATGCTACGAATATAGCAGCGCGTAATAAAAATATTTCTGCAGTAATTTCCTGCGATGGAGTTGCCTGGAGTATTGGATGCTTCGGTGGATCATTCAACCGCGAAAAGGCATCAGTAGCTGAGACGTTCGAACTCGCTTTAATGAGTCAGTTTGCCAAATGGGAAACAAATCGTTGCTTTTAAGATCCAATAGTCTGTAACTTTTCATCTCCACAACCGTTACGGTCGGCGAACAAATTACGTGGATTACACTGTAATTCCAGCTGGGGGGGGGGAGCAGTGCCTAGCACTGGCACCTCACATCTCCAGTGTTTTTGCATGCTCTTCCCGGATCTTCTGCGTTTCTTCCGGATTTTAGGTTTTTCTTCAGCAGTCCAAAGTTAAGCACTTAAGTGTATCTCTAAATTAACGTATAGTTGTGTCTGTTTGTGCCCTACGACGTGAAGGCATCAAGGGTGAATGTGGTTGGAAGATCAGTGACGGGTGGATAATTCTTATCCTTATTCTTAAATGGAAAAAAAGTTGTACGCGGTTCAATAAGCAATAAAACTGTCCGCCAGATTACAGCCAGAGAAAACGCCTGGCGTGACACATTAAGACATTCATACAATGCATACAGCAGTCACCCAAAACTGGATCTGGCTTCCATGGCCCACGTGTAAGTACTGATGGCTGCGAAAACATTCCGGCCTCCCCTGGGACTTTGGGGGAGGAGCTACATTCACGGAAGTGACGCAACGTCACACGTATTGGCTATCGTTTTAAATGCCCTAAGCCCGATTGGTGGAGAGCCTGCCTTTGTAACCATTGGCTGGAAGCTATTCACCGGCATATTTGAACGCTGCCTTTCAGATTTTCTGGGCGTCTGTGTTTTCACAATTGAAAAGGTAAGGAGATGAGGACTTGTGAAGTGAAACAGTATTTAATGCCTTTGCACTACTCACACTGGCTCTATCTCATGCGATTAAACATTCGTCTCTGGAATGGACTAGATGCCTAATGCCTTTTAAGTCCAATGGTCTTTTTACACATGTAGTTAGGATGACTGATCCAGTCGCTTCTGATGTTAATACTGGAGAGACATACAGAACGTATTATGCATAAAGCAGTAATTTTATTAATCTCAGATCCCGTTATTTAAATAGCCTGCCTGTTATCTCTTTTTCATTCAGACCGCCGGTCTCAGCATGTTGTCCGAAGAGGATGGTGCCGAGCTGCAGTGCACTGTCGCAGTGGAACGCTTAAATGCATCGGGTCAGGCCCTTAAACGCCAGCTCCTGCGGCGCGCTCACGTCACCTTGGGCCGCAATGAGTTTCAGGAGATCGTCCTGCGCGTCCACGACGGCAAGGTGCCGCAGACCTTCACGCTCCGTGAGATGCAGCTTTTCACGCGTTTCGCCCGGGACGGCAAGAGTACCATCAGGGTAGTCCCTGAGAACACCCAGGTGCTAATCTCCGACTGCCCCCCGGACCGCCTGCGTGTGTTTCTCAAGACCTTGAGCATCAAGCACCAAGCTTGGCAAGGCAAGACGCCAGTAGGAGACCGTGCCAAGCTGCTGTCTGGAATCCCACGCAGCTTTGAGACCATCAGCCCCCTGCAGCAAAAGGATATACAGCAAGCAAATGAGCTCCGAGGCAAAGTAAATGCACCGCCGCCTCCCAGAGGACCAGCCGAGAGGCATGGAAACAGGAGCGCAGGGCGGCAGGTGAAGAGAGACAGTCCGGATTACAACGAGTGCAGTCCGGTTAGTGTGCCACCAGCCCGCTGTGAATGCAGTGACATTAATGTTTGTTAATTTTAGGATGTTGAAATTATGTATGCATACATTAAAGTGTTTATTTATTTGAATATAGGTTAAAGCACTTCACCCAGCCAAAAAGCCCACCCTCCATCTTCCCATTGGGAGGAAATTGTCAAAAGAGCAATCGCAGGTCCTCAGAGCTGTTTTGAGTGGGAAAAACGTCTTTTTCACCGGCAGTGCTGGTAATGGAGTCTGCCTTAGCCCCAAACCTCCATTCTGCCTTTCCAAGCGGTTTAGAAGCTTGAGCCCTGCTGTTCAGACTGACATGGCCTCTCTTCTCAGGCACGGGCAAGTCCTTCCTGCTTAAGAGGATTGTGGGATCCCTGCCACCCAAAAGCACCTATGCCACAGCAAGCACGGGTGTTGCTGCCTGCCATATTGGTGGCACCACCCTGCACAACTTTGCCGGTAAGGGGGGCATTTGCTGGAGGTGGCCTGAGGCCCACATTACTGATCTCCCTCAAAGCGGAAAGCCTGGAAACTCGCCTGTCAGCTCTGAGATATGTGCTTAGGACTTAAAACACCGTTTAAATGCTTTTCATGAAGCATGGTTTTATTTAGGGTTAATTATAGCCGTCCTCAGGCTGGGCATTCTGGGTAGTGTGCTAAGTGCTTTGCTGGAGTGTGGAGTCTGCAAGCTTTTACCCTCTGTTTTAATGTATATTTTAATGTGGATCAGTGCCGTCTCATCAGTTAATCTCCATCCATTTCTTATGACTCTAAATGGCGCTGCAGGTGCATTAACCGGAAACCAGGACTGCTGATTGCTTTAGGAAGTTTTATCGATGGATGGAGATAAAAATATCCTGTTTGTAAGCTGCTGGAGCACAGGGGGTGGTGGAGTGTTATTAAAGTCTCTGTTTAAATAGATGGTTTCTGTTGCCTCCCAACTTTGTGTTTATCCACCCAGGCATTGGGTGTGGTTCCGCCCCGCTGGAGCGATGTCTGGAGCTGGCCCGGCGCCCTGGTGTCCTGCAGCAGTGGACCAGCTGCCGACACCTCATCATCGACGAGATCTCCATGGTGGAGGCCCAGTTCTTTGATAAACTTGAGGCCATCGCTAGGTATAGCACCCCGGTTCCCTGCTCCTTACAGTGATGGCTGGATGACAGGCTGGATGGTCGCATTTTTTTGCGCATGCTTGCAGTTTGGCTTGTCACGTGTAAGATTAACAGGGAATTACCAGAATTTTTCAATTCCCATATATTCTTGGTAATTCCCATGGAACGTTTCTGACTTGGAATCTTTCCAAAATTCCCCATCTTAACTTCCCATGGAATGGAAAATTTCTGGAGAACTCGCAGAAAATGACTGCCCCTTTGCATCCTTAGTCGCATGTCCCTGTTTGTGCTGCAGGTCCATTCGAAGGTCCACGCAGCCTTTCGGGGGTATTCAGCTGGTGGTGTGTGGAGACTTTCTTCAGCTTCCGCCGGTGACCAAGGGCTCGAGCAAGCCCAACTTCTGCTTCCAAGTATGTTTGCCGGGAAGTGGCCACAGCCGGATTCACAGCGCCGTCTGCGTGACTCTGCAGAAGCACCCCGCAGCCCTGGCGGTCTCTGAGTGCGGCACTGTCCTGTTCTCCATCAGGCCCGCAGCTGGAGGAAGTGTATACACCTGAACATGGAGCTGACAGACGTCCGTAGGCAGACTGACAAGCGATTCATCTCTATCCTGCAGGCGGTGAGATTGGGCAGGTAGGGTCAGTCTGTGGTTATTGCCTTGGATCACAGAATTATCTCTTCAGCAGTCAAGATTACTCCCCACTAGGGGTGGGCACTATGACCTAAAATTATATTTTTCACTTTTTGGATGGTGAAAGTATATCACGGTATTACTATTTTCCTAATTTATGTACATAAAAATAATCATTTTCAGTTGGAAGACATGACAGAGTATCAGCAGCATTTATTTTGCAACAAGCCTGCCTGAAGATCTTGATGTTAGCTTTTATGTGCTACAACAAAAACTAAATGAGCAGTTGTGCTGTGCCGAAAGAAGACGACTTGTGGTCACACGGTAGCTGTGAACCACACTATCAGCGAACACAAAAACGCGCAAATGAAAGCATCAAGGCAAGCAAGTGTTGAAACGTACGGCGCAGACGTCCCAGCTCTCCTGGAAGTTTCGGGTGTCTCCCGCATGGTAACGGCGGCTCTATGACGCCCGCAAAAGCGAGAGCGCGCAAAGAGCCTCAAGCTTATCTAGTATCTCTGGAGAAGGAGAGCGAGCGTCAGGGAGCCGCTGCCGACATGCGAGAGACTTCCGGATCTTACCGAAGGGCTGGGATGTCTGTACAGTCAAATGTTTGCTCCATGTCGGATGATTTAAAACCAGGCCAGTTCCAAATAACAGAGGTGCCCCCCGTTTTTGGAACGAGTCTCCTCTCCTGTCGATACCTCGGCTGGTTCCCACGTTCCACTCATGTCTTTTTAATGCCTCTTTCTCAGCCTTTCTTACCTTTTATTAGCCTTTACCGAGCTTAAATGGCTACTTTTGGCACGACGTCACCACGTCTTAATTGGGCGGCTGTGCATTTTACCACTCGCCATGCGTGAAGGCAGCGGCGCATATGTTCTGATTTAGCGAAAATGTTTTACTTTATTTACTACGATATACATGTAACCTAGTTGTTTTGTTTTAATGTATATAATTACTCAATCTATTTATTTTTAATTTAATTTGCAATCATGACATGGCATCAGAGTGTGTTTAATTGAAAACTGACATAACGCACATAAACCAGTTCCAGATAATATATAAGGAAAAGTATTCAGACTTCAACTGAAGCTTTAGCCTTCCCTAAATATGTAGTGTGTATTGCCCACACTGGCTTCAGGATACTCCTTCCCCCCCACCCCCCAATGCCAACAGGGTAACAGAGGAAGTCACTGCAGCACTAATGAAGAGTGCCTATCACAGCATCGAGAGGGATGGTATCCTAGCAACAAGGCTGTGCACACACAAAGATGATGTGGAGCTAACCAATGAGAATAAGCTGCAGCAGCTTCCAGGTGTGTGTGTGCGTGTGTGTGCCCGCCCTTGCATGTGCTTGCTCGTGCGTGTGTGTACACGTGTGTGTGTGTATACTGCCCCCCCCCCCCCCCCC